TATAATACATGCAGAAACGTACATTTTTTTATAGATATTAAAAATTTAGGCTCTATGACTTGTATACTATGTCTATCACAGTCTATAGGATTTTGAATCGCTGCATGCATTCAAATTCAAATTAGGTCCACCCACACCCCACGGCCAGTGTAGCTGTCAGCTCACCTTCTTCAGAAGTGTGAAAGCTTTTGCCGGTGGAGGTGTGTTTTACGATCGGTCCATAAAGAAGTGTTGATCGGTTCAAAATGACATAAGAACAGGTTCTTTTGAATAACCTATGGATTGGCACCATGGGGTTACGATCATTGTTTTGGTGGCTTGCAGCTCATTGGCTTGCTGGTTTACATCCATGAAGGGATTTAGTCCCTGTGGCTTTCAGCAAGTAATCATGTTGGCTAATTTGCTCTGCACTCTGCAGCATGCTTGTGCACAGGGTGAAGTATGAAAATTATGCTGGTATTAGGCAATGCTGGGCTATTTCATTCATCCCATTATTGTGATAGGGATTGGAGGACTATAAAAATGCAATTGTGATCCCTAAATTGATGAGTTACTAAGTGGAACTGCCACAAGTTGTTGGCGAGTTGAATTAGGTGTGATCCTTTTAATTGCAAAGATGTTTTGTGAGTGTCCCATAATTTTGCTACCTGCGAATCTGATTAATTAACTTTGTTAGTGCTTCACATATGACATATCATCCAATGTTTATTGCAATTCTTATTTAAACTGTCATTTGCTTGCAATTTATTCTTGAATGCTTTGATTTTGTGTGTTTATCTTGAAAACTTCATAACTTTTACCAATTACTTGAACGGTTTTTCTTGGTTCTAGTTTTAGCTTATCTTTGCAAATGTTTTACTGATTTCACTCCCAATATTATGTTTGTCTGTTTTGTTTTTCATATATCTTGCTTGCTGCACGCAACCAGCTTGCCATCAATTAAGAATATATTTTAAGTATTTATTGCATCAGTTTTAACATTCAATTTCCCTTCAGGCTTAGTATGTTTTATTATCTTGTTGGACAGGTTATTGATTTTTGTTCTCTTTATTTTTCAGTTCATCAATGATGGAATACATGTAACCCTGTCCATGCTCCCTTTCCCTATCCCTAATCATAACTCCTGAATGCAGCTAAACTTATTCACTCATTACATTGTCACCGTATTTTTACTTCAATTTAAGAGATAAGACACCAGTCTTTCATTAGCCTTTAACATACCAGATAGAAGGGTTGTTGCCAAACCAAACTCAAAGGTAACACGGTTACCTCACCCGCAGTGTGAGACATCCACCCGGCAACATCGTTATATTGTGATGCGTGAATCATCATTGGTGAATGTCTTATTTATTTAAACACTTGATGCAGTTGAATTTTGTATGTCTACCACCTCAACCTCTGAACCAATCAATTGGAAATTGGAATTTAGTGTGGACATTCACATTATGAGGTGTGAGATAAATTTCTTCTAAGTTGCAAGCAAAAATTTTGTGATTATACTAATACAGTCATTTATTAAAGTGGGGGTAAATGCGGTATATTCCGACATCGTGGGTAATTCCGACACCTCTCTAGTTTTTCCTTTATATTAAGCTTTGTTTTAGTTCCATTCGTTTGTTGATGGTTGAAATAGTGACGTCATACATTTGCGCGTCAAACTACTGCCAAAACACTAGGTCTGGGCCATCTAGCGGGAAAATGTTGAGATCCAAAGAGAGATGGTGCATGCCACCCAATGAGATTATTGAAAAATGTATCAAAGTTGACAGTTGACCTTGCTCTACCAAATAGTGATAAACTGTTTATGTAGAAAGAATATTATGGTTTGAGACTTTTAAATACGTCTGTGAATATATTAGGAATTTTTTAAGTATACTTGTATTTGCTGATTTCAAGTGGTAAATAAATTAATAGATGATTAAGTTGAGAAATGGATTTAGACACATAGAAACTAATTCCAACACAACTTGAATTCAATGAATTGGACACACAGCTCGTTCCAAGCTGTGTGCAAAAATTAAAATTTTCCAAATTAAAAGCTTAATAACTGTTAATTAAAAGCCTAATTAAGTAGTGCTCAATATTCAATAGTGTTCTAATTCAAAGCCATGTCGTATTCCAATACAGCTCACACAGCGATCCAAATTTGAACACGTGGATGTTGGAATTATGTATTAGTACAATTTGAAGCACGGTCGGAATGTGTCTCGCCACGTGCCGAATATAGTCACACACAGTGTCGGAATATAGGGATTTGGTAGGTTTGCATTCTAAAGGCTTTTAAATAAATATGGCAACATTTTGTGACGTTTCATCGTTGCTGGTGTGTCATGCGGTGTTTTGAGTCACATAAAGCAAACAGAACTCGAGTAACGCATACGTTTTTTTTATAGTTTTTCATTTCTCGATGCGTCCTTAATGTGTCGGAATATACCGCGTTTACCCTGGTTAGTTTCAAAGTGAATATTTCAGTGGCGTAGTTTGTTAAGTGGATATTTGACAAAGAAGATAGGTAATGTATATATGTGTATATATATATATATATATATATATATATATATATTGGTGTAGTTAGGCAGAAGCTTTTCTTTTATGCAAGTTTGATTGAAGACCAGAGCATGCTTTTTATTAACAATCTTCTTGTTTGTTTTTTCAATGAGTCGAACAAAATTTCTTGCTGGCGTCGGGAGATCGAAAAGCAGGTTTCCGAATGACATTTTAATAGTTTGCAACGTTTCGAAAATACAATTTTCATTATCAAGCTGGTGAAGGTTTTACAACATCTGAAATTGAATTTGAAATGACAGAAGTACATATCAAAGGTAAAGTGGATACAATACGAACAAGAAGATTGTTAATAAAAAGAATGCTCTGGTCTTCAATCAAACTTGCATATATATATATATATATTATCTATAACTCGGAAATACCGCGACTATGATTAGTTGACGTTTTTCAATTAGTTATTTAAGGTAAAAGAACCTTTCCTAACTGGACCTAACCATAGTAAAATTTTAGAATAGTGTCTAAAGAAACATTTTTTACACTTCTTACCCTAATTCTAACCCTAACCTAACGAGATTTGTGTTAATTACCATGTCTCGTAATATGGTTCATCTTTTTTTTCGTCGCGATAATGGCTAAAACTAATCATACACATATACCGCGACGTTGGTCAATATCGAGACATTTTTACCGCGACGAAGTGTCGCGCAATATGCCAAAAATGTCGCACTATCGCCGAAAGTATGCTCAAAAATAAGCAAAAAACTTACCGCGACTGGCCTCCAAAAAATCACCCTTAATTCGTAGCGCTACACCCTAAGTTATGTATATATATATATATATATCAGTGGTGGCACAGCTAACCTAAAGGTTAGGTTCAATAACTGCTAATGTGCTAACTGAAAAACTAAGCTTCAATAACACTAAACTGACCAGGGTGCAGAGGGTGGATGCAGCGTTGCCAATACATGGGTTTTTAAGCTCTAAGCATTGCCGGGTGATTTTAAGATGCGTCGCCGGGTTTATTTTTATTGAAAAGCCATTTACGCTGAGTATTGAAAAACTATTTACAAGCCACAAACTTATTTACAAGGTTGCATGCACGTGTTACCCCAAATAACTAATTTTACCATAAAAACAGTCTGATTGTACAGCAAGTGTCAACTGAAGATGTGATAATGCGGTCTGACCGCTCTAATGTGACCGCAACTACGTAATCGTAAACTTGATGTTTACATTTTTTGGCGGGAACTCATCGCAACTGATTTCCGGACAAGCTTCACTCACTGCATCCTGATCCATCCAACATACCGGAAACCTTACTTTTTTTTAAATAGTTGACTGAAGACTGACAAATATATTAAATGCAAGAATTTCAATCTAAATGTGTCAGCAAGATCTTCTGAAGGCGTAAATTTTGCTACTGAAGCGTCGCCAAAAATCTTGCATTATTCATCCGCTCTCTGCACAGTGGTAAACTGATAAATCACCAAAAAAATGTAGCGAAATTTGCTGCTAAGAGAGAAAGACACCCCCAAAAATGCATTTACAGTAAAACCTCAGTAAGCAAAGGCTCCAGTTGAGAAAAAATTGATTAAAAACAAAGAATATTGATTACATTTACCTTGCTTGGCGAAAAAAATTTCACTTATCGGAAAATTAGTGCATCATTGGTCATCACAAAATTGTGCATAGAATGTCATATATAGAATTGTGCACCAGGCATCATAGAATGAAAAGTACTTGACCTAAACTATGATTTATTTCTGCAAAACATATGATGGTTGTCACTAAAGCATTCCTTTCTGTTTCAGGTATGTTTTTCACAATCTTTTTTATAGTAAATTTACTTAACCCAATTAAAATGGTGTGAAATTACAAGCCGTCCTGTAAGCTTACAGATACAGAAAAAATGCTATAAGGCTGCTGATATGAAGCTTGCAGTGGACAAGGTTGTTGTAAATGCTCAATGGCATGTTCATGGATATGGTAATATCACATCAATAATACGGTAATATCGCATCAATAATACGGTAATCAATGTAGGTATATGGTAATATCATATCAATAAAGGAAAAACAAGTAAAAATCACAGAAAATGTCATTTATTCTACCTCTACATCATCTACAATGAAAGAGGAGGACTTCAGAGTACTGTTAGTAATGGATGAGTACACTCTGCATGCTTCAAATATTTTAAAATGAAGTTTTATTCCAAGTGCTATTGAATAGCATATGGAATTTTTTTGAAGATGCCATTTGATAGCCCTCGCAAAAAGCTATAAAATGAGCCTAAACTTGTTTATGAAATGTTTCATGGTAAGAAGTTATTAACAAAAAGCGCTCAAAACCGTCCCGAGTAGCCCCAGTTGACGGTATCCCCTTTCCAGCTGTGATTGGTTGACGAAATTGTTATGTCATCCCCTTTCTAGCTGTGATCAGTTGCTGAGATTGTGATGTCATCCTTTCCAGCTGTAATTGGTTGTGCCCAAAGGCCCCACCCTCAAATATGGTATATGTACTACAGTACTGGTTAACTTAATAGTTACTTAACTTGAACTTAATCATCATTCATAACAAACAAAGGGCCTTAAAAAAATTCACAAATTAAAAGCAAAAAAAATATAAATCGAACAAGAGATAACTAAACAATTGCATAACAAATCTGAGGTACTAAACAATTGAAACAGTATGTCCACATTTGATCCTCCTTTTCCTTTATAATCCATCACCTGGTAGAGCACTGTATCTAAGGAAAGCTTTCCACCTTGGGTTGAAAGCTTTTTTCATAAGTGTCTTCCCTGGGTGTTGATCACAGTTTATGTATGTGTAAATTGGTTCTGAAGGTGAATTTGCATTGCTAAATCATAAATGGTTCTGTCTCAATGACAGTCTCAATAGAAAAAAATGTGCTTATTGCAAGTTTTTAGTCATCCTCTTAGAACTTGATTGATTCTAAATTATAAGACATACCTATGATATGTATATTGACCATGAAAATTTTGCATGGAGGGATGAAGAATGGATAGAACTTACAGTTATGAGGTTTGTGTAGGTGGTCAAATAATAAGGTGGGCTGGCTTAGAGATCTAGGTATTTGGGAGCACAGATATGGTTTTAAGTTTCTTCTCAATTGTAAACTGTTAAATTTTCTAGGCATATCTTCCTTCTAAATTTCTTAACTTGTCAAATTTAATTGACTCGTGAAGAAATCTAAAGAACCTCATGCGCTAAAACTTGTTGCAACCTTGTTAGAGGCCACAAGTTTAAGATCCAGGTTGCAGAGTTTGGTGAATTTTACCACTGATGTGTCACCAAAGATCTTCAGTTAGGTATTCACCCACTTTCTGCACCCTGGTTTTAGATGAGGCTGACCCCCAACAACTTGACAAAAAGAAAGATAATTGTTTTTATGGGATGTACCGTATGTCATAAGATCTTTGTAATTTTCCTATATATATAAAACTGACAAACTCTACTCATTAGCTCAAATGTATGTTGCTAAATAGTTTTTATATTCTCCACAGATGAGACAATATGTTGGCCATTTTGAAGAGAATTCCAGGACAGATAGCTCCTGCTTATGGTGCTTTCAATAAGCAGTGTTATAATATTGCACAATTCCATGTAGATGCTCCTTGTTCAAGGTAAGTCTTCAGTTGTTTGCATTTATTTGTTGGAATTTGGGTAACTAATTGTAGAATGTAATAATGTTCCATGTTATGCATTGAATTTTGATTTAGGTATATTGTTTGAGCAAGATGGCTTTACTACTTGAATTGTACCTTGCAGGTATTATGCAGAAAAAATTGCACGTGGACCTCTGAAGAGGCATTATGGCCGCAACCAGATTGAAAAACTGCATAACAGAGGTATGAAATTTGTCATCTTTGGGTTTGAAATAGTGTATTCTTATTCTCCCTTTATCCATCTCAAATATAGAAAAGCTTATTGCACACTTTTGTGAGAAGAGACATTGATTTATGTTATCTCACTTTAATCACCATATCAGTAACAACAAGGATACGGTATTTTAATCATTAAGATGGAAGAAAATGTATGTTTGTACCCTGGCTAATGGCATTGCCTACCTACTTGAGTTGCTACTTTATTATTGTAATTTAGTCATCACTTTTGCAATTTATTTGTTGATAATTGATTAATATGATTAATTATAACTTGTATCAATTAATAACTAAACATTGCTAAGATGAATGGCTACTAACAGAAATAATACAAATGAAGCTGGGATGGTTTTTCAGGCCACTAGTTTAGTCAGTTATAAAAAATCTGCAAAAAAATGCTTGCCCCTTGAATTTAGAAATTAATTTTTGAAGAAGTGAGAATTTTTTAAAAGTGTATATAAATAGCTAGAACACTTTATTTACCTAATTGTGTTGTCACAGGTCCTTTACCACATGACCCTGAGGCTAAGTCCCCTCTGCCCATGCCTGAATACCGACCAAAAAATGCTTGGTGTCAGAAGCGAGCTCTCTTTGGTCAAAATGACTACATTGGTAAGGCATTGCTGCTCATATAATCTTTAAATTTGAGACATTTCTTGTTGGGACTGCATCTCCGCTTTGCATGTGTTTAGCTATTATTTATGCAATTTATAATGGATGAGCAGCAGCAATCTCTAGATGTTCTGCTGATGTTAGTTGAAACTGCAAATGTTTGCTGTAAATACAGATGTAAACCTGAAGATGGGCATATACCTTCTTCAATTATTTTATACACCTTGAGTATGTTATAGATGAAGATTCATAGATCTTTAGTACACCTGTAAATTTACTACGTATTCACTTAATAAAAAAAACAGTTCAGAGACCTACCTCCATTGGAAACGTTCCAGTGCAGTCAAGTTTAGCTATTTTCTATTCTTAGTACTTGTATTCTTCAAGTTCCTGACTGATTATTGAGCTTGTCTCTTGAACGTTGTATGAATCTCCTTCATATCTGCAATGAAGGTACTTATGGTGAATTCAATTTCTTTGCTTGTAAATTCTTACTTGTCAATTCTTGGTATGAATGATTAAGTTTTTAAGGCATTTTAGGCGTTGAATTAAGCAGAAAATTTTTGGTATGTAGAAATATTTCCTACAAATACATTAAAATCCTGGAATAAGCCTTACAAATTAATATTCATTTGTCTTCTGTGTATATCCTCTCCAGGACCACAATGGCTTCCCTAAATTGATATCAATGGCTCCCCATTGTCCAATTGCACGACATTTGGTTCTTGAGTAGACTGCTCATTTGACTCCAACTAAGCAATAATATTCAATGACAGAGTCATTCCCCTAAATATATCTTTGGTCTATTTAGCCTATTATCTTAATGTAATATTTGCAGTGAATTCGGGAGTATGCGCGGAGATGTCACGAACAAGTTTTAAAATCAACGACAATACGATGTGCAGTCTTGAATTTGTGTTTTGTGACTGGTTGCGGTACAATCGATCCCTCGTGACCAGAGGCTACAATCCATCGTGGGCTGGGAATGCTACGTCCAAAACATATACTAAGAATACTAAAGAGAAGGATTCCTGATGTCGGACTAAGTGCAGATGACTGTAAATTTTTATTCACAGATATTCTCGGTGATGGATCCCTTCATCCCACGGACACTTTGTATGACGTTCCTCTTTGGCTGCGAGGCTTCAAAGGCAATGAATTCCAAGTCTTGCTCCGACAGAAAAGACTGTTTGGGCATAGTATGCAGGTGTGTTGCGATTCATATATTACAAGTGTAATGGCGGCACCTTAAATCTGAATTAAAATGCAGTGCCTCTCTAATCATGATGTATTTTTAATTTGGAGGGCAAACTCATTTGGATTTAAAAGTAGAGATTAACAAAACTCCTTAATGCCTTAATCCTCCTTAGCCTTAATGCTACCAAAATCCGCAATCAAACTTTGTCAACAATTAAACATCATAATCCTCTCATTCATCACATTCCAATCACTTCATTCTCAAGAGTCATGGGCACGTGCTAATGTTATTTTCAAAAGTCGGTTGAGTATAATTTTTTTTATCAACGACCCATGTAAACTAGATTCTAAGTTGCTTTGATCATTGTAATTTGATGAGCAATTTTTAACGGACTCAAATAACTTATTATGTTGTGTAACGTTCAGACAAAAACACTAGATTCATTTCACTTCTTGTTGAATGGGATTGCCAGTAGATCTACGCTAAGCTAACATAGTTTTTTTTATTCTGTGTTGTTCACAGGAATGGAATCCAACTCGATTTGACCAGATCGACAAGAGGATCAAGTTATTGTACAGGCGGCTTAACTTCCACAGGTCACAAGACTTCTTCAAGAAGTAGATTATTTACCGATTTTGAACTAGAATTGGCTATGTTGTACGTTTTGTAGATTATGAATGAAGTTAATTCTTATGCTTGTTGTATTTTCTACCTTCACTACACTGGATTTAGGGTCAATTCATGAAATCAACATAAGATACTAACTTGCAATTACAAGTGAAATTCTTCAGAAAATATATCAGCTTTCATTGCAATGAAAACTATAAGTCACGGTAATTTACAGTTTGAACTGAATTTTGCAATGTAGCATTTTTACGGCACAAATGTTGTGACTAGTTTTACTTTGCTAAAGTAAGTTCAGTAAAGTAAGTATATATATGTCCCCCTCCATTCAGCCATCTTCAGGACGCGTTATATGTTGTTTATCATGCTCCTGGCCTGGAGGTATGCAGGTAATTCGAGGGCTGTGCGTGTAGACAAACAGAGTGAGCTTGAGAGGCCGTTGCACTCAAATGTTGCTGGTTGCGGTGAGAGGACAGCGAAGAGTAGAAGATGAAGAGAGGATCATGCGTGAGCCGGCATGGACATGTTAAGCACAGGAATGGAGAAAGCTTGAGGTGATGTGAGACATAATCCTAGTGTGTCTTGGTGAGGACGAAATGGAGAATGATGAGCTAGTGGGCCCAAAATCGGCCGGAGAGACGCAAGTTTTTTGGTTTCACACTCCATGCTCTTTATACAAATGCTACGGAATTATTGTGAGACGAGCTATCTAATGTCAACAGGACGGTAAAGGGCATCTGTGTGAGGTCCAGCCTCGAGCGAAGGGTGGGCAAACTTGTCAACAGCTTTTTTTTAATAAATGCTAAAGAGCAATTAGTAGATTTTGGATTCTTAACATAATGATGTCGACGCTGAAGAGTAGGCCTGATGAGTGATGTGGCCTGCCGCCATCATCCGCCACCAGGTTATGTCTGGAAGAGCGAAATGAGCAGAGCTATGCAAATTTTGCGAATTAGCCAGTTTTTTCATTGACAAATTTTATTGCTAAGTACTTTGCGTATGATTCCGTAGAAAACCAGTGGCAGGTGGTAAGCCTGCATTGATTACATGTAAAGAGATAATGTAACACAAAATATTACAAATGAGAACGTAGTTTGAGATATTTACATTGATAAGTAATAGTAAACCGTTTCAAATAGTGATAACCTGACAATAGATGGAAAGGCGTAGAAAGCCTAGTTTCGGTGGGGATTTACTTGTTTGCAACATAATGGAGTGTGAGTAGAAGATTTTAATTTCTGTGTGTGCGGATTCAACAGGTCTTCCTAGGTTGCCAGCGGCAACCTCCCTACTGGGCTGCCCAATTCGTCGTATGCAATCGGAACTGATGAGTCGCACAATTCATTAATTGGGATTTGGGAGTGATGACTGATGAATCAACGATGCTATGTTGAAGCCAACTGCCAAGCAAGTCGGTTCACACTGTACGAGGCAGACGGAAGCTATATATTATAAGGGAAGGGAGCAGCGCCAGGTGTCAGGTGTGCCGGCAGGCGGCAGCCCATGGTCAGGAAGATGTGCCAGGTGCGTGGGAATTTATATTGTCATTTTAACGACCTGCGCGGTGCGCCGTACTATGCCGGTAAAAAAATGCGCCGTGCGCCGTACTTTTAGAAAGCTAAAATAGATTAAATATGGACGCGCGACGCAATCACACTGACCGTACACTGTACACACAAATGTGTATCCGCATTGTGTTGTGGTTGGATATGAGTTAAGTAGATTGCTTGGGTTGCAACTCAGTTTCTAAGTGTCAGCACAGTTATGAATATTCATTCATAGATCACAATTCAATCAGACATGAATTGCAAAACTAAAGAAGGCAACATGGCTTTAGATGTGCCATCGCCCATCGGTGCCTTCTAATGAATGGCTGGAGTGGTTGCGGCAAGTAAGGTATGAACCTGTATGTCAACAGTACGAACCTACATTCCCGAGTCCCGAAATCCTCCCGGCCGGCAAATTGACACGATCAATACCTAATAACAATGCGCATAAATGGACTATACAAATTAGGTCAATACGGCATAATTACAGACTACAGAGCGTAATTAAACTATGTGATACAAAATATGAATATATATATTTGCAAGATAAGTCAATGCCAATGTCAATGGTCTGTCGTTTATTTTTGCTTCATTTGAGCAATAATGGTTTCTAAATCTGGGTGCGTTATGTTATGTCATGTGTACTTTGAATGTGCAAAAATTATAACTATCATATGAAAATTGTTACGTAGGTTATCATAGCACGAATCACAATAGAGTATCAAGATTGCAGCTCTGCTACCAGCCTCCATTGAATGGAAACGGTAAAGCAATGCGGATTGCGGAAGTTGAAAATTTTATGAAATGACATGTTTGCGAAGTGCAAACCGCGATTTTTTAATCAAACAAAAATTTATGAAATTTATGACATTCAAGCCGCGAGATTTCATACCTACTGAAATTATATGATATTAGAGCCGTGATATTTCAGACAAAAATAGGACTTTTCCAGACTAGCAGCCCACTGTGCAGAGAGTGGATGAATATTGCAAGATCTTTGGCGACGCTTCAGTAGCCAAATTTTTGCCTTCAGAAGATCTTGCCGACACATTTAGATTGAAATTCTTGCATTTAATATATTTCTCAGTCTTCGGCCAACTATTTAGAAAAAAAGTAAAGTTTCCGGTACATTGGATGGATTACGATGCAGCGAAGCTTGTCCTGAAATCAGTTGCGATGAGTTCCCGCAAAAAATGTAAACAACGTTTTTTCGATTGCGTAGTTTCGGTCACATTAGACTGATTAGAGCGGTCAGACTGCTTTATTACATGTTCAGTTGACACTTGCTGTACAATCAGACTGTTTTTAGGGTAAAATTAGTTATTTGGGGCAACACGTGTATGCAACCTTCTAAATAAGTTCGTGGCTTGTAAATAGTTCGTCATTACTCAGCGTAAATGGCTTTTCATTAAAAATTACCCGGCCACGCATCTTTAAAATGGCCGACGACGCTTTGGGCTTAAAAATCCATATATTGGCGACGCTGCATCCACCATCTGCATAGTGGGCCACAGCAAGTGCTCATTATCCTCTCGGACAAATCTACGTCCGGACTTGCGCCCGGCGTCTCATTACCTGTGGAAGAGATTTGCAGAGCCAAGCATTTTGAAAGCCCTGAATCCTGAGATAATTACTACAGTTTCTGTGCTTCTGGAATCAATGATTTTCAGCACGTTATTAGTTCATATTAAAACTTGATTTTTCTTATTTACTCGGCATACAGTTGAACTTATTTGCAGTTCATTTTCATTATTCAATTACATCATTCTAATAAATCAAATAACTGATAAGATTTCAAAAATCTTTTCTAATGATATTGTGTTTTCTAATAGCATAAAATAGCACTTTATTAGCATAATTTCCTCATAAATATTCAATCAGAACATTAATTTAAACATTTTTTCCAGAAAACCGGCACATATATACAACATGTTGTTCTCATCATTGATATGTTTCATAAACTTCGTTTATAAATGGTACAATATTACGTAAACAGCTATGCTGTCATATATACTGGATCATGCCATTCCTGATGCTTGCAAATTTCGATGTGCATGAATATTTTATTCTCTAACATATTACGTAAATTTATCACTTTAAGTCAACAAGCGATGCCATTGATTTTGCACACATTTGAAAATAATTTTTTCGTACCAATGGATGATGGCATGCTAGTGGCAGGGTGCCTCTGTGAGTACGTTTCAGAGTACCATGATTCGAGCAGTGAGTTGTGGGTTCGATCCCAGTTACCTGCAACAGATCTGGTCAAATAGGCGAGGTGACCAAACGGTTAAGCACATCAAAACTGGAGCGTGCTGAGTGATTTGCATGTTTGAAACTGCAATTAGCTGAAAAAAATCTGCAAAATTAAGATTTGGGGACAAGTGTAATAGTCTAACGAACGCCAAAACCAGTATACTATATACTATAATATAGTTTTGTTCAAAAGATATAAATACTAATGAAATGCGTGCAAACAATATTTATTGGCAGTCGGATTTTAAAATTGTTCAGGCATCTATTGATGTTTTTTCATTCGATAATAAAGGCTCTAATAAAAAATCATGAGATAAAGACAGGCTGATTAAAGTGTCCGATCCACATAATGTGAACAACATTTAAAAGCTATATAATTTCAGCATTCAAATTGTCTAAAACATCACCCACGGATCACGCAAACAAAAACTCGCGTTTTAAGGTTTAAATGTACGTCCATAGTCCATACTGAGTTTTGGATAGAGAAACTTCCTACTGTTATTGTTGATTATAGCTATTCAAATATTATATGCATTTTTTAAAGGATTTATTATGTAAAATATGCACAAATGCAATTTCCACAAATTAATATGATTACACTTATCTTTTACATATGTGTACCAAGTTTCAAAGTTATCTGTCAGTAATTAACCGAAATAGAATTTCCATAAGAAATTGGACATTGCCATTGGAAATTGGAAATTTTATTTTGGTTACTTACCGACAGATAACTTTTGAAACTTGGTACACATATGTAAAAAATAAATCTAAGCCTTTTTTTATTCTTGTGAATTTTTCAAAAAAAATTACAGAAAACATGAAATTGTTGGAAACCCGATGTTTTTTTCTGTGTGACGAATTCGTCACGCCAGGGCGTAAAGGGCTAGCAAACATTCGCGTTTCTCGTGGTAAATGCAAGAAAATTGAGATATATTACACTGCGCAGAATACTTAAAAACTAAGAAATTTATAATGAAGAAGATGGATTAGTCCTTGGTTTTTTATGAAGCAATGTTCGAAAATTTAAATGAGCTTTGGAAGACACCGACAGCCGACACGTGACAGCGCAGTAATGAGTAACGTTCCATGTCTTGAATTGAGAGCCTCACCAAAGTTCCCACTCCTATTTACTATAGAAAAATACATTATATCAAACATACATTACTTAGTTGCAAAGGAATGAAAACCAGTTCAACTCACCATTGGTTACGGTGCTCGAACAATTCAGAGATGTGTTACATCATGAAGGCAACCCCACAACAGTATTAG